ATATGAGGAATTATCATTAGAAATTTGTATGTTTGCGACCAACAGTTGAGTAACTGAAAAATCAGCTAAGCACATTTAATTAAAATTATACACATAGATCTTAAATATTTTATTTTGACTTAAAACATTTAAGTAAGCATTCATTCTTCTCTATTTCGAGATACAACTAAATCCCTTCTTGGAGACTGTGTTTGCTAAGTCTCACACTGTCTTTATTACAAACCCTTTTCTATAATTATTATCTGTCCATTCAGTTTTGGAACTTAAAGATAGTTATGAAACTAATTGATTAAATGATCCTTCTAGATGTTTTCACTATTTTAACAGTTATCTCACCTACTCCAAATTATAGAGTAGGTTGTTTTTCGTGTGTTTTATTTTTATTTTTATTTTTTATTTTTATTTTTATTTTTTTTGAGACAGAGTTTCGCTCTTGTTACCCAGGCTGGAGTGCAATGGCACAATCTTGGCTCAGCACAACCTCCACCTCCTGGGTTCAGGCAATTCTCCTGCCTCAGCCTCCTGAGTAGCTTGGATTACAGGCATGTGCCATCATGCCCAGCTAATTTTTTGTATTTTTAGTAGAGATGGGGTTTCACCTTGTTGACCAGGATGGTCTCGATCTCTTAACCTTGTGATCCACCCGCCTCGGCCTCCCAAAGTGCTGGGATTACAGGCTTGAGCCACTGCGCCAGGCCTCGTGTGTTTTATTTTGAGGGTAAGGGAAGGGCTTCATTTTTATCAAGTCATTCCAAAGCATTCCATTTACTTTTCATTGGAAAATAATTTTTTTTTCACACTCATGTTTGTTGAGTTAGGTAATATTTAATTGAATTACCCAATTATAGTTACAAGCACAACTAGCATGAACAGTTTCAGAACTGACTTTTGTTAAGCATACAAGTCCACTGGTAGGATCAAGCATGAGCTGGCTTGCTAGAAGGAAGGCATAACTGATAGGCTGGGGCATCAGGTGGTGTTACAGAGCGAATGGAAGGCAAGATGAATCTGAAAAGAGGATGTTTTCTGCTGTAAAGAAGGGTTTCACAAATAAAACAAGGTGGAACAAGAAGTATGAAGGGGGTTAGAACAAGACATTTATTTCCAAGTTTACTGGGTAATTAAACTATGAAACCAAAGGATAATACAAGGTAGAGCTAGAAAAGGCATTAGAGAACAGCTAATTCAACTCACCTACCATCTTTACCTACTACCATGGTCTACTGGCATTTGATACATGAGAAAAGATGCTTAAGCTTAAAATGGAAAATTCTTTAACAATGCTCAACATTAAAGATGGAAAGCAAGGAAGGGGACAAGCTAGCTGAGATGCAACCTTAACTGTCCTTTCAAGAAAAGAGGAATGGAGGCTTCAGGAAGAAAATCTCGACTGACGGGAAGTGCTAGATTAGAAGAGTTTCAGATTCTCTTCAAGCATAAGTGGTCTATACCAAATGATGGGTAGACAGGGAATGCGGGGAAGATGAAAGACAGAATACAGAAAAAGTCATTTAATTCTTTTTAAAAAGTCAAGCATAAAACACAAAAAATAGAGTATCTGCCTCTTTTTTATTTCTTTTATGAGACAGAGTCTTGCTCTGTCACCAGGCTGGAGTGCAGTGGCACCATCTAAGAGCAGGACCTTCTAGAGAGAGCACCTTATGCTTCTGCAGACACACCTATGCATGTGTCCCAGCTTAGGTAGACATTTATCAGGGGACTGCATTTTACACAGAAATGAATATTTGAACACTTATTAGGTTTTAAATGTCATCAAGTGGCAAAGGAGCTATAGCCAATGCTAAGATGACCTGTCCTGTGGCATCTTTTTCATTGCTTTTCCAGGAAATAAGCAGAAGAAACCAAGAGAAAGTACTGAGATGAAGAGCTCTATTAATCTTGCCCGTCCTCTGTCCAGTAACTGATTCCAGAAATTCTGTGTGGGAATTGGGGCTAACCAAAGATTGAGACCTAAACATCCAATTTTGGCCACATGGAGTCTGCCTTTTTACCAAAGTGGAAAATCTTCAACTAAAACACAGAGGCCCCATTGAACTTGCTGAAAACAAGTTTGTAATTTCTTAAGGCTTTCCAAGTTTTAAAAATGTATATGATTATTCCATGTGATAGCCTTGGAGAAATTACCTTCATTAACATATTCTCTAATTTTTACGTTGACCTTATTCCTTTATTTTCTCTGTGAGTTCCTTTCACCTCAATCTTTAAGAAAAAGCAACAAATTTCCAAAACATGGTTTTGGAAAGCCCACAATATCATGTCCAGATACCTAGAAAAATAGAAATTACACTAGTGTTCTTGGTTATATCTGTATTTATACAGCTTCTTCTAATGAAGAACACAAGTACCATCTGTGGAGTTTTCCCACCCCATCATCATTTTTTGGTACGGGAGAGAAGAGTCCATGTTGATGACCAAATGGGCACACCTGAACCATGTTGAAATGGGAAACTTCCCCAGCAGTGGGAAGTTCTGCTGGGGAAAACTTCAAGACTCCTACCTACCAGGATGTGACTCACTTAGCAGTGGCACTCAAGATAAAGGAGTCCCTCCGGATGTCTAAGCCAGGCCTCTTGAAAGCAAACAGAAGTCTCCAAAGTGGCTTTCCAGGAAATTGAAAGTGAATAGCAAGAGAAAATCATATTTCTCATTACTTTCACAGTTTTGCAAGTTGAATCAGGAAATCCTTATTTTATAATATTGAGAATTTTAGAAATATTGGAGCCAAATCCATACAAGGAGCCCTGAAAGATGTCCCATTATATATTCAAATGACAAATTAGCAACAAAGTCAGATATGTCATCTTGCTTTCTTTCATTACATTGATCATTATTTGGAATTATTTGTTGTAATTATTTCTTTACTTATTATTGCCTACATGCTCACTCAGCTGTGAATTTGAAGGCAAGGACCATTTGCGTTTTATGCATGCCACATGCTAAGTTCCCTCCATGATGCCTGGTACATAGTGTTTGCTCAATGAATGTGCGTTGAATGAAGAAATAGATTACATCTATTTCTGTAAGATTTCAGAGCAAACCAAAGCTGCCTCTCCCTACTGGTCCATTTCTTTAATCTAGTGACAACCCACTCCCCCTGAGACAATTATAAGCCTCAGGAAAAATCAAGAACATGCAGATCAAGAGAATGTCCTCAAAAAGACCACTGAAGCAGCTCTGAGCTTGCACTGAATTTTGCATATTGTTGGTTGGGAGTTCCTTACATTGTAACATTCCCTCTCTTGAAAATTGTCTCCGTTAAAAGGTCAGTGACTCTGGATGAGATGTTTCATTCTTCTCTTCTAGTTTATCACTCATATTAGGTCAATTCAGCCCAAACACTTGCCATATTCCCTTAAGAAATCAATGAAGTTACTTCAGTTAAAATGTTCAGAAGCTTATAAAAAAGGCCATTCTTTATCTTTGCCATCCCTAATTCAAAAGGGTGTGCTGTTTCCCTAGCTTGGCATGCTTTTTCCAGGTCAGGGGGTTTCTCTGAGATTTCCTGAATTCTGCAAAGAAGAGAGTTTAGAAAAAATTATTGTTTAGTTTACCACCTCCCAAATCCTGAAAATAGTCAGTGTTGATCCCTGTACCAAAAACAAACAAACCACCCTGTACACACAAATAACACAGTTTCTTCTGAGTGTGTGATTCCTGTAATTAGTATGAAGAACTACTTCAGTGCTCCCTGGAAGACCATTGGGGAACCTTAAATATAAGATAGAATAGCCAGTTGAAACTCTTCTTCCGAGTGGCACCCTTGCCCATGGAATCTTCTTCCCGCTACTGCACAAGCCTCTTCCTGCCATTATGTATGGAAACTTCTGAACCCTGCCTTCTCCCTGAAATTTATCCCATTACACCAGAAGAGATGTGGTCATTTAATTTACTTAAATTAATTTTATTTTTCGATGTCAAGACTGCTGGTCAATATGATTTTTAGAGAAAATGTCAACCTTAAATTCGAGGAATCTTTTTCATGAATTGCAAGCTTATGGGAATAGGGGTCATGTCTGACTCACCAACATATTCCTGGTGCTTGACACCTAGTAGGCATTCAACATGTATCTGTTGCATGAATGAATGATAGGAATGACTGTTATAATCATGTGCCTTCACATATTACCAACTCATTAGTATTTTCTTGGAATCAACGAGTCTTAGAACAGGAAAACTAAAAGAGGTATCCTTTAGTCCAATATGACCACCCCGCTTAGAAATGTTAATCTCCCTGTTTTCCCCTCCATGCTTCCAGTCTCCTTTACCTGCTCTCTCTCTCTCTTTTAAAACAATACTTGCAGAGTTTATTACAATGTATTATTTTTAGTTCTCTAATCGGATTGTTAACTTCATAAGGACAGAATTCCTTGCCTATTTTATTCAGAGTTGCATCCCAAGTGCCCAGAACAAAACCTGGCACATACTAAGGGCTCAGTAGTTATTTGTCAAATGAATAAATTAAAAGAGAAATTTTTAGCATGCACCCCAGGCGTCAGAAGCACTGCAGGTATTTTAAATCCCAGGCCCAATCCCACATCAGGGGAATAAGATGACTTAAGGGTATGAATCCCAGGAATCTACATTTTTAACAGGTGATTTTGGTGTAGCTCTTCTGAGAACTGCTAGTTAATCCAACTTACTCACCTAGAGATAATCCTGAAACCCAAAAAGACAAAGTGTCTTTCAGGTCACATGCTAATTCAGTAGTGCATCTAAGTGTTTTAAGTTCTATTTTGATGAGCTTTCTACTCTAGTCATCTTTGAGCCTGGATTTTACCTAATATGTTTACTGCTATCTGCACTCCTGGTCTTTGAGATTAAGCTACTAGAGGCAAAAATTATGGCTTCTAAGCTTACTTTGTGGTGCATCTCATTAGGCTTAAGGTAATACAGGACTTTTTTAGTCAAATGATACTATTGCACGTAAGAACAGCCCTATTTTCATGCTAACATGTCACTGTGTTCCTTTCTCCTTCTAGTTTCTGGACATCTCCATTAAATGGACCACCCAGGAAACATTTCCTCCAAAGTACCTTCATTATGACGCAGAAACTTCTCATCAGCTGTTGTGTGACAAATGTCCTCCTGGCACCTACCTAAAACAACACTGTACAGCAAAGTGGAAGACCGTGTGTGCCCCTTGCCCTGACCACTACTACACAGACAGCTGGCACACTAGTGACGAATGTCTATACTGTAGCCCTGTATGCAAGGAGCTGCAGTACATCAAGCAAGAGTGCAATCGCACCCACAACCGCGTGTGCGAATGCAAGGAAGGAAGATACCTTGAGGTAGAGTTCTGCTTGAAACATAGGAGCTGCCCTCCTGGATTTGGAGTCGTGCAAGCTGGTACGTGTCGATGTGCAGCAAAATTAATTAGGATCGTGCAAAGTCAGATAGTTGTGACTGTTTAGGAGAACACTTTTCTTCTGGTGACATCATAGGATAGCAAATTGCAAAGGTAATGGAACCTGCCAGGTAGGTACTGTGTGTCTGGAGTGCTTCCAAAGGACCATTGCTCAGAGGAATACTTGGCCATGACAGGGCAGTTTAGTGACAAATCTCAAATGCAGCAAATTACTCTCTTATGAGATGCATGATGGATTGCTTTTTTTTTTTTTTTTAAGAAACATACTTGAGTTGCACTGTTGATAGTTGATCTGTACCTCTATGTTTCACTTCAGCATGGACACCTTCAAACTAGAGTGCTTTTTGACAAACATCAGAAATGTTAATTTATACCAAGAGAGTAATTATGCTGATATTAATGAGACTCTGGAGTGCTGACAATAAGCAGTTATGATTAATTATGTAAAAAATGAGAATGGTGAGGGGAATTGCATTTCATTATTAAAAACAAGTCTAGTTCTTCCTTTAGCATGGGAGCTGAGTGTCTGGGAGGATAAAGACTATAGCAGCATCTCTTCAATGAGCTTATTCTTTATCTCAGACAAAACAGATTGTCAAGCCAAGAGCAAGCACTTGTCTATAAACAAAGTACTTTCACTTTTGCATTTTGAACAGCATAGGTTAGGGCTCATGTGTATTGAATGTTTTAAACGAGCAACCCACATTTTTTTCTACCACATTGCGAAGCTTCAGTTTAGTCTATAACTTTTCATCGCTTGAGAAAATTAAGAGCATCCACTTTCTTAGATGGAGGAAGTAACCAGTATAGATACTGAGGACTCAATTTGAAGCAGTGTTTCTCAACTTCGGCTTTACTGATATTTTAAGAAATATCTGGATTCCTGGGCTGGACTCCTCTTTGTGGGCAGCTGTCCTATGCATTGTAGAACTTTATCAGCATCCCTGGACTCTAGCCACTAGATACCAATCACAGTCCTTCCCCCATGCGACAACTAAAAATACCTTCAGACATTGTCAGATGTCATCAGGTGGCAAAATCACTCCTGGTTAAGAACAACAGGGTAATCAATGCTAATTATTTGTAACTACTTTAACTCTTAAAAGTTGTGAAATACAAAGTCTAAATTATTAGATGACCAATCATTTCAGTTTAAAGGTATACAAATGAAACATATTCAAAAATAAAAATCTATTCAGTTTCTCAAATAGTGAATCTTATGAAATTAATCACAGAAGATGCAAATTGCATGAGAGTCCCCTAAAATTCCTCTTAGTCTGAGTATTTGATGATACTGGAATTGGTGATACTTCCTACTTTTTATTGGCTGGTACTTGGGACTCAAAAGCTAAGCTAAATTGTAGTGGGTGGGGTGGGGGTGCAGAATACCAGCCAATAAAAGCAAATCTATTTAATTCATTCAGTAAGTTGTATAGGTAGAAATATTAAATGTGGGCTACAGAGCTTGGAAACTAGAAAATTTTGAAAAATAATGGAAATAACAAGGATTTTTCTTAAGTAAACATGAAAATCTGTTTGTAAAATGAAGTAAGCAGGCAGCCAGAAGACTCAGAACAAAAGTACACATTTTACTCTGTGTACACTGGCACCACAGTGGGATTTATTTACCTCTCCCTCCCTAAAAACCCACACAGCAGTTCCTCTTGGGAAATAAGAGGTTTCCAGTCCAAAGAGAAGGAAAGACTATGTGGTGTTACTCTAAAAAGTATTTAATAACCGTTTTGTTGCTGCTGCTGTTTTGAAATCAGATTGTCTACTTGCCATGTTTTATTTACTTCATTCTGTTAATTTCTGTGGAATTACTTATAGCAAGCATGGTGAATTCTCAACTGTAAAGCCAAATTCCCCCATCATTATAGTTCACATTCTGCCTGCCAGGTTATAATTTTTATATTTCCACTGATAGTAATAAGGTAAAAGAATCATTACTTAGATAGATCTTTTTTTCATAAAAAGCACTCTCAATTATAAAGAGGGAAGTTATGTTCAGGAAGGTCATTAGTTAAGCCTCTGAATATATTATGAAACATTAGTTCTATCATTCTTAGAGTCTTTCTCTTAAATAATTTAAAAAGCTAACTTACCTAAAAGAAATACCTTACACATAAGATCTTATCACTAGCATGCATGAGAAGACTCAAGCCACAGATATGTATCTGAAGAATGGCAAGATTCTTAGTCTGGGCATGGTGGCTCATGCCTGTAATCCCAACACTTTGGGAGACTGAGGCGGTGGATCACCTGAGGTCAGGAGTTTGAGACCAGCCTGGCCAACATGGTGAAACCCTGCCTCTACTAAAAATACAAAAATTAGCCAGGCATGGTGGTACATGCCTATAAGCCTAGTTACTCAGGAGGCTGAGACAGAAGAATTGCTTGAATCCAGGAGGCTGAGGTTGCAGTGAGCTGCTGTCACACCACTGCACTCCAGCCTGGGTGACACAGATGAGACTCCATCCCTCTTCCCCCCTCAAAAAAGATTCTTCTTCATGCAGAGTATATGTCAGTCAACAAAGGGAGACCTGGGTCCAGGTGTCCAAGTCACTTATTTCTAGTTAATTCGCAATGAAAGAACACCATGGAATCCCTGCCCAAATAACCTCTGCTTATGATATTATAGAATTTGGTGTAGAGTTGGATGCCATTAAGGAGTAGGATGTAGTAGAAAAGTACTAAAAACAAACACAGAAACAAACACAAAAAAACCCCTCAGTGCAATGCTGGAAATAACATTTAATCTGTGAAGGTTTTAGGCTGCGGTTTCCCCTCCTGCTCCTTTTTTTCTGCCAGCCCTTTGTCATTTTTACAGGTCAATGAATCATCCATCCCTTTAGAAAGGAAAGAGACAGGAGATGAAACTAGAACCAACCCATTTTTCCCCCTTTTTTATTTTCTGGTTTCAGTAAAAGATATAATGAGGTAGGAGGTTGAAACTTTTTATAAATGAAGTTTAATAACTTTCTGTAGCTTTCATTTGTCTCTTTCATATGTGTTATATTGCATAAGCCAGAATTAGCCTGTAAAATCTACATATGAATATTGAAGTCTAAATCTGTTCAAATAGCTTACACTAGATGGAGATATTTTCATATTCAGATACACTGGAATGTTTGATCTAGCCAGGCGTAATATAGTCAAGTGTTTGAAGATATTTATTTTTAAAAGCATCTTTAGTTGTTGACTGGTTCAAATTTTCCTGCCAATGATTTTTTCACATTTATCAAATATCTTTCCATCATGAAGTCAAATGCCCTTGCAGTCACCCTTCCTGAAGTTTTAACGACTCTGCTCTTTTAAACAGTTTAAGCAAATAGTATATCATCTTCCGTTTACTATGTAGCTTAACTGCAGGCGTACACTTTTGAGTCAGCGGCCAACTTTATTGCCACCTTCAAAAGTTTATTATAATGTTGTAAATTTTTACGTCTCAAGGTTAGCATACTTATGAGTTGCTTCACAATTAGGATTCAGGAAAGAAAGAACTTCAGTAGGAACTGATTGGAATTTAATGATGCAGCATTCAATGGGTACTAATTTCGAAGAGTGATATTACAGCAGACACACAGCAGTTACCTTGATGATTTTCTAGGAATAATTGTATGAAGAATATGGTTGACAACAAGGCCTTACTGCTGCTCAGCAGAGGCAGGACTAATGAACATCCTACCCTTCTTTTTTTTCCTCTCACTTTTCATGAGCCTTTTGTAGGTAATGAGAAAACTGACTTGCATTTGTATTACAAGGAGAAGAAACTGCCAAAGGGGATGATGGTGGAAGTTTTGTTCTCTGTCTAATGAAGTGAAAAATGAAAATGCCTAGAGTTTTGTACAACATAATAGTAGCAGTAAAAAACAAGTGAAAAGTCTTTCCACAACTGTATTAAGAGGGCATCTGCTGAGAAAGGATGTGAGAAGGTACTAAATTGCTTGGTATTTTCCGTAGGAACCCCAGAGCGAAATACAGTTTGCAGAAGATGTCCAGATGGGTTCTTCTCAAATGAGACGTCATCTAAAGCACCCTGTAGAAAACACACAAATTGTAGTGTATTTGGTCTCCTGCTAACTCAGAAAGGAAATGCAACACACGACAATGTATGTTCCGGAAACAATGAATCAACTCAAAAATGTGGAATAGGTAATTACATTCCAAAATACGTCTTTGTATGATTTTGGAGTATCAACTCTCTCTGCGTTGAACACAAGGACTCTGTCTGCATTCTTGGTCAAACTCACATTTCCCCTTTCTTGAATCTTAACTAGCTAAGACTAGCTAAGACTCAGAATCTCTCAAAAAGTCATCTTCTCACAGATAACACCTCAATGCTTGAATTTCTCTCCTTTCACACTGAAATCAAATCTTGCTCATGGGCAAAGGGCTAAAGTATAAACTGGCAGCTTAGAAGCAAAGTGATATAGAAATGATGACAAATTAGGCCAGGTGTGTTGGCTCACACCTGTAATCCCAGCAGTTTGGGATGCCAAGGTGGGCAGATCACTTGAGATCAGGAGTTCAAGACCAGCCTGACCAACATGGTAAAAGCCTGACTCTATTTAAAAAAAAAAACAAATATTAGCTGGCCATGGTGGCAGGCACCTATAGTAGCAGCAGCTACTTGGGGCTGAGGCAAGAGAATTGCTTGAACTCAAGAGGCGGAGGTTGCAGTGAGCCGAGATCATACCACTGCACTCCAGCCTGGGCAACAGAGGGATACTCCATCTCAGAAAAAAAAAAAAGGACAAATTAGAAATGTGTACTTGGCTTTGCTATCTATGGTATTAGTGCATCTATTGCATGGAAGTTCCAAGTTACTCTGATTGTGTTAAGCTTTTCATTGCATACAGATCACTAGTATCATTGCTTGATTAAACACAAAAAAGAAAATCATCTTTAGTTATTCAAATGCATTCCATGGTAGTGATGACAATTCATCAGGTTAGTGTGTATGGTCACCTTGTCACTCCTACCACTAGACTAATATCAGACCTTCATTCAAAGATGCATCACACTAAAAATGATATTCTTTTTTGTGTTTAATCAAGCAATGGTATGAACCAGCTTGACTCTCCCCAAATACTTTTTTGTACTACAAAGAAGTTTATGAAGCATAGGAATGCAGATTGATATAAAATGAGATTCCAACCCAGTTCCAAAATTTTTTCACTGTGTAATTGAAATCGTACGCAAGGCATCTAGCCTTTCTATTTTCTTATCTTAAAAAAGAATGAAGGAAGTGGTATTAAAGGGATTGATCAAATTTTAACATTGTATTTAATTAATCTAATTCATTTCTAAATTTACTTTTTTCATTTATTAAGCACTTACTATGTGGTACTGTGCTATAGAGGCTTTAATATTTACAAAAGCACTGTGTAAGTTGTTTTAGATGAAATACGGGTAGTGGAATGGCAGAACTAGCATTCAAAGCCAGGTCTGATGAATCCAAAAACAAACTCCCATTACTCCCATTTTTTGGGGACATACTTATGCTACCCAGATGCTCTGGCTTTTGGGCATAAAATAACAAACTATTCTAAATTACTGTTCAAATTCCTTAAAGTCAGTGATAATATTTGTTTTGACATTTATCTTGAAGTTCCCTGTGGGCAATAGGTAAACCTTTAACAGAATGTTAATATTTATATTCAATTATAGGAATTTTTGACTGTAACTTATTTATAGAAATATTTTATTCTAATTAGACATTTACTAACTTTCTCTTGAAAACAATGCCTGAAAAAGAACATTGGAAGGCACATAAGCTCAGTTGGTCTTTGCTGCTAAGACTAGCCAACAGAGGCTTGATTTTATTCAAACTTTGTATTTTAGCATATTTTATCTTGCAAAATTCAATTGTGTGGGCCTTTCTCTGTTTTAGTTTGTATTGAATAGACTTTCAGAAATCCAACTGTTGAGTAAATCTTCTTGGTTTTCTAACCTTTCTTTAGATGTAACCCTGTGTGAGGAGGCATTCTTCAGGTTTGCTGTTCCTACAAAGTTTACGCCTAATTGGCTTAGTGTCTTGGTAGACAATTTGCCTGGCACCAAAGTAAATGCAGAGAGTGTAGAGAGGATAAAACGGCAACACAGCTCACAAGAACAGACTTTCCAGCTGCTGAAGTTATGGAAACATCAAAACAAAGACCAAGATATGGTCAAGAAGATCATCCAAGGTATGATCATCTAAAAATAAAAAGATCAATCAGAAATCAGAGACACCCATTTATCATACATCAGAAGCAAGACTGCATGGCTGTTAAGTTGTATGGATCACATTTCCCTGTTGTAATCATTGTTGCAATAAAAAAGTTTCCATCAACTGATAATGTAGATGTGATTCCAAAAACAGTTATGCAAGGTTTTGTGCTCACCCTGCTCCCCAGTTTCTCTGTAAAGTATGTTGAACACTCCAAGAGAAGAGAAATGCATTTGAAGTCAGGACTGTATCTCAGGGAATATGCTGCCAGATCCCTTAGTTCTTCTATAAACACCCTCTCTAGATGACCAAGGAGAAGCTCTTTAACCATTTTGAAACATACATTGCATCTCCACCATGAAGCTCTGTTGTATTTACTTGGTAATTCTCTCCAGGTAGGCTCCACGTCTCTTACAAATACCCCCTTATTAATCCTCATGATATGTCCTATATTAAAGTTACCATTTTAATAGAGTATGTTGTGAGGATTAATGAGATGAAGTCTGTAAAGCGTTTGAGACTCATGTAGGAAAAAGCTACTTAAAGTGAAACATTCTCACATATTATAGGTTTATATAAAGATTCTCCTTTACAAATGGTAAGAGAGAGAAATAAAGAGAGAAGAGAGAGAAGTGGGAAAGAATCTGAAGAAAATGAGTTTCATCCTGTGGACTGTAAGCTTTAGGACACAGGATGGAAAGAGTTCTGGTTTCAGTTAGCATTGGGAGGACATGCTAGAAGAAAAAGGATGAAGGCTTTCCATAATGCAGACAGGGTCAAAGAGAAATTCATTCTGGTCCTCACCAGTAGTAAAATGACTTGCATAGTCTTGCACAACCCTAAAAACTTCAAGTATCTAAAACCTAGGCAACAGATTTTAGGACACCAATGTCTTTGAGAGTTGAACACTTTTATTTATGCAGAGAGTAAACTTTTATTCTGTCTTGGGCAAACCAAAAGTATTCTTTGAACATATAATTAGCCCTGAAGCCAAAAGAAAAGAGAAAATCAGAGACTGTTAAAATTGGAAGCAACCAAATTCCCTATTTTATAAATGAGGACATTTTAGCCCAAAAAGATGAACTGATTTGCCTTAGGGCTCGCAGATACTAAATGACTCATGTCATTAATAGAAATGTTAGTTCCTCCTTTTAGATTTATACCCTAGCTTATTACTGAAATATTCTCCAGACTGGGTGTTTCCTTCAGTTCCTTGACCTCATATTTTTGGGTTTTCGGATATCCTCTTCATGGAGGCAGTCCTCTAGTGCTATGTGTATTCTTTAAAGACTAGTTAGAGCAATAAACTCATCAACTAGTGCCTATTAATGAAACTTTATATTACAAAGCTAACTTGAATACTTTCTTTTTCTGAAATGTTAGGGTTTTAATTTCCCAGCTTTTCTTAGAAAACAGAGTGATGTGTGTTATTTTCTACTGTTAATTTTCAAAATTAGGGGCTTTATCCACAGTTTCGATGGATGTCAAGAATATATAGCATACTATCTTATTATAACAAAAAACAGTATTTATCTCAGTTCTTAGAAATAAATGGTGTCACTTAACCCCCCTCAAAAAAAGGAAAAGGGTACCATTGAAATATAATTATGAAATTCTGTAAGAACCTTTTGCCTCAGGCTGGTTTTATGATGGCATTGGATGAATATAAATGATGTGAATGCTTTTTTGGGCTTTTGCTTTATGCAGATATTGACCTCTGTGAAAACAGCGTGCTGCGGCACATTGGGCATGCTAACCTCACCTTCGAGCAGCTTCGTAGCTTAATGGAAAGCTTACCGGGAAAGAAAGTCGGAGCAGAAGACATTGAAAAAACAACAAAGGCATGCAAATCCAGTGAGCAGATCCTGAAGCTGCTCAGCTTGTGGAGAATAAAAAATGGTGACCAAGACACCTTGAAGGGCCTAATGCACGCGCTAAAGCACTCGAAGACATACCACTTTCCCAAAACTGTCACTCAGAGTCTAAAGAAGACCATCAGGTTCCTTCATAGCTTCACAATGTATAAATTGTATCAGAAGTTATTTTTAGAAATGATAGGGAACCAGGTCCAATCAGTAAAAATAAGCTGCTTATAACTGGAAATGGCCATTGGGCTGTTTCTTTGCAATTGGCCAGATCTCATGGATGAGTAAACTGTTTCTCAGGCACTTGAGGGGTTCAGTGATTTCTTTCTCATCACCAATGACTGATTTTGCCACAGAACATTAAAAGAAACTAGGATGTGGAGAAAGAACTACTATCTCCCCAAATAAACCCCAAATGGTTAATCAAACTATCAGATCTGGTCCATTATCTACTGACTATATTTTCCCTTACTACTGCTTGCAGTAATTCAGATGGAAATTAAAAAAAAAAACAAAACAACAAACAAAAAAACTAGACTCCATTGTGCCTTACTGAATATGAGAATGTCTAACTTAAATAGCTTTGAGACTTCAGCTATGCTAGAGGCTTTTATTAGAAAGCCATATTTTTTTCTGTAAAAGTTACTAATATATCTGTAACACTATTACAGTATTGCTATTTATATTCATTCAGATATAGGGTTTGTACATATTATCATCCTATAAAGAAATGGTATAAGACTTACTTTTAGAAAGAAAAAATTATGTTTATGACAAAAGAGATAAAATATATATTTTTAATGGGAAGTTTGTCGCATTTTTCTAATAGGTACTGCCATTTTTTTCTGTGTGGAGTATTTTTATAATTTTATCTGTATAAGCTGTAATATCATTTTATAGAAAATGCATTATTTAGTCAATTGTTTAATGTTGGAAAGTATATGAAATATAAATTATCTGAATATTAGATGCTCTAAGAAATTGAATGTACTTTATTTAAAAGATTTTTTGGTTTTATAACTATATAATTGACATTATTAAAGTTTTCAAATTATTTTTTATTGCTTTTTCTGTTGCTTTTATTTGAATGGGACATTAATGGGTTTGAGCTTTCATACTTTCCCTGTTTTCACCAGCAAAACCTGGGAAGTGTTAAAAATGCAGATTCCTGGACCAATTTGTTGAAAAACTCTGGCAATGAGAGCAGAAACTTGCAATTTTAGCAAGTTCCAAAGTAATACTTATTACACTAAATCTGGAGAACTTCTGAAGTCAGCCTTAGATTACAGATAGTGCAAGCCACTTACAACTGCTGCCACCAACCTTGAGACACCAAACTATGTACGCTCTTTTGACAGCAAATAACAGAAACTAGCATTACTTAGTTTAAGAAAAGGGAAAAAAGAATAATTGGAAGAGTAGTGTGTTGATTGAGTTGAATAGTGGTCGCCCAAAAGGTATTTTCATAATTCCCAGAATCTGTGAACATTACCTTATTTAGTAAAAGTGTCGTTGTAATTAAGCTGAAGATCTTTAGATGAAGAAAGCATTTTGGGTTATTCAGGTGGGCCTTAAATCCAATGACAAGTGTCTTCTTTATGAGACACACAGAGTAAACAAACAGAGAAGGTGATGTGAAGACAGAGGCGGAAGTGGAAGTGATGTAGCTGTAAATCAAGGAAGCTAAGAGCAGCCAGTAATGGGCTACCCCCACTCTGCTGGAGCCTCTGTAGGGAGTGGGGCTCTGCTGACATCTGGATTTTGGAATTCTGCCCATTGGAACTGTGAGAGAGTAACTTTTCTATTGTTTGAAACCATGCAGTCTGTGGGAATTTGCTGCAGCAGCCACAGGACACTAATAGAGATGGTACCCAAGCTTTAGAAAGAGCAGAATGGTGGTGGCTCAATTTTTTTTTTATTTTCAGAGCCTGCAACAATTGCTTAGCAATGCTAGCTAAGCTGGTACAATCTAAGGGCCATCTCACCTTTATCTTTAGGCATTTGACCAACAGAATCTCTTGCAAACAAGATCACAGACCAATTGCCGTCTGTCTCAATGTGTGTGTGGGAAGAAGTCCTTTCTCCCACATGCTTGTCCGAACAAGATTGTTTTATAGAAAAATGCAACTAAAACCCGTAACATAGCAACTAGCTATCTTCACTATCACTGGTTCCTTCTACTCCCAGAATAGGAAGTTGAGGTAAGAGGGGAGAGACTGCCTTCTGTTGTAAAAACCCAGCCACACCTCAGTGAGGCTAGCACAGGAGGACCGGAGATTAGTAGGCACTAAAACAGGCCTCTCTAGAACTCTGGGTCCGTTGGGGCAGAAGTTTCAGCTCTTTCTCCTAGTCAAACATCTTTGTATCTTTTAGTTCTAAATTCCAAATTTCCAGGAAAGAGACTCTAATTATCCTAGGTTGAGACTGATGTAAAGACATGGAAATTGAGGCTCTGTCCCTGCTTATCAGTTGCACTTCTCAAGAAGAAGATATCATTGGGAACAGGGCCCAGTAACTGCTTCCTATCTCTTCCTCGTCTATATCCTCTTCTTCACTTTACTATGACTTAGAATTCAGAGTTGACACAGACCATCCCTTTGAAAGCAGACTTGTGAAATTAGATCAGTTATGGCCACCTTGATAGAAGTCTACACCTAGGTAAATATCACACAGACTCATAAACCCGGAAAAATTAAAAGTGAAGGTGAAGCCAAGAGGTTCTCACCTGGGGAACAGGCGTCCCACTGTTGCAATACTACACATGACAAAAGTGGTGGAAACGACATCCTGATGGCAGAAGCAGAAGGCCAAGAGTAAACTAACAGCCTTCATTTGTCCTTAAGCAGCACCAGTTCTTCCTTTAAAGTTCTCTGCAGAAAATGAAATAGTCTACACAACTCCACAAAGTTTAAGAAAAGTTTGAAAGTTCATCGCGTCAAGGCTAAATTATTCAAATGCTTATTTGGTTGGCCTCCCTGGTTGCTCCTTTGGGTTCAGTTTGTCTTGAGCTTCTCTTCCGGGGGAGATAAAATTTGTAAATATCATGACAGTCCATTTTCTTCTATTTTTTAAATTTTAATTCTAAATTCATTTTAGATTTACAGAATCACTGAAAATATAGTAAATAGTTTTCTAGTACACGCTTCACCTAGCCTCCTCTGAAATTATTTTTCATTGCTATTATTCACTTATTTAAAGAAATTAATCTTAGTATAATACTATTAACTAAACTCCCAATTTTACTGAAATTTTCCCAGTGTGTTTAGTGATGTTCTTCTTCTGTTCAAGACCAGTTGAAGAGCCCATGTTTCATTTCATTATCGCTTCTCCTTAGGCTCCTGCGATCTGTGACAGTTTCTCAGCCTGTGTTGTCTTTCCTCAACTTGATGCTTTTTGAAGAGATGTGATCAGCTCTTTTGTAAAACATCCTTCAATTTTTGTTTTTGTGATGTTTTCTCATGAATACACTGAGATTATGGGTTTGGGAAAGAATATTGTGAAATCCATAACTCTTTGCAGTGTATCCAATCAGGGGCCATATCAGCATGACTAATTACTGCTGATGTTAATTTAAATGTGATAACTTGGTTAAAATGGCTTTGCCAGGTTTTTCCACTGTAACATTACTATTTTCTTCTTTGATATATTCTGTTCATTAGAATTATTTGTTAGAACATTAGATCTAGTCCACACTCAAGGAAAGGAGAATTAAACTCTTCATATTGGAAAAAGAGATTTCAAGGAATTTGTGGTAATATATTAAAACCACCACAGATTTAGTTACTTTAGGGAAGAGATTCTGGAAGGCTTTGAAAATACCATTTCTTCTTAAAGATTCTTCCACTAATTTTAGCATTCAACAATCAATTTTGCCTGCAGCAACTGTTACTATGCTTTTCTAATGGGGATTTTCTATTTCCCTCACGTCCCCTACATTTAAATACTTTCATTTTCTTCTCCCTATGTGTGTCAATCATTTATTTATATGCTTATGGACTCAAGAATATTAATGTTATTCTTTGGATTACATTCCAATACTATCACTATTTATTTTTCTCAAATTGTTTCAGCTTTGGCTATTGCCTCTTGTTTCCTTTCAAAATGGCCCTCCCCATCCTTTTATTTTTCTTGAATATTTTGTGTTTTCTGGCACTAGTAGATTCTCCATACTCAACTTGCATTTCCTCTTCCCCAACCCTAAAATAAGGCATTTTTCTTTTTTATTGTAAAATGGTACTTAAAAACCACAATCCAGGTGCCAGGTGTGCTCTTTGCCACTGAGGTGTCACTGTTTATAGGACATCTCAGTAGACAGAGTAAGTAAATAACATGTATGTTAACCCACATATGTTTACAATACTTATTTCTATATCTGTATACATATATATTCTATGTAACACACACAGCTATATAAGTCACTGGGTTCATTCTAGCCTTCACTCTCCTTCCTTCTGATTATTTGTGTCATCCTTCTGAGAGTGAAAAACATGGCTCACATTATATATAATTTATTTATTTGTTAACCACAGATGCATGTAAAGTATTTTCAAATTTTCTAATGGGTATCCCTGTGAGAAACAATTTTATCAACTAGAATATAGTATTAATTTACAGTTCTTTTTGTCTTCAGCTTTATGGTGTCCATTCAAAATGTTTTTCAAAATCACTTGGGCCAGCTTTCATCCTCATCCCCTTCTGTAAAGTTATGTCATATATTGAAATAATTACATTTAATTCTTACAGTCTACATTATATCCTGGTGAATCCCCCTATAACCTGAATTTTTTAAAATTTGCATACAATTAAATACTTCTTGTGGCAAACCAATGGTTTTGACGTCAGCATAGAATCATGTATCCACCAATATATTACCGTCATCACAGTTCCATTACTCTAAGAATGTCACTGGGTAGGTCCTTTGTAGTTAGTCTGTGTCCCCTCCACTAACTTCTAGCAACCATTGAACTATTTCCCATTCTTGTAATTTTGCCTTTTCTAAAATGTTATATAAATGGAATCATACAATATATTGCCTTTTGTGACTATTTTCACATAGTGAAAAGTATTAAACATTTCATTCATATTGCTATATGAATTAATAGTTTGCTCTTTTATCTTTTTGAGTAACATTCCATTAAACGGATGACCATTGTTTTGGTTTTCCATTCACCTACTGAAGTATATCGTAGTTATCTGCTATTTGAGATGATTATGAATAAAGTTAGTATAAATTTTGCATACTAATTTTTATGTGAACAAGATTGCTGGGTTATATAATAAGTTTATATTTAAATGTAAGAAACTGCCAAACTCTTTTCCAACTTGGCTGTACTATTTTGCATTTCCTCCAACAATAAATGAGAGTCCTTATTGCTTTACATTCTTACCAGAACCTCATTTTGTCATGTTTTATTATTTATTTTTAGCCATTCTTAAATTGTTTCACGGGATCTTATTGTGCTCCTAATTTGCATTTGTCTAATGAATAATTGAATTAGT